CCCCAATCCAAAGACACAGACAGGCAAAAAAAGCCAAGACCCATTGGTATGCTACATCCAGATCCATCTCACATGCAAGGATACATAAAGACTCAAAACAAAGGGATGGTGAAAAATTTACCAACCAAATGGAGAGCTAAAATAAATAAATAGAAAGCAGGAGTTGCAATTTTTGCTGATAAAATAGATTTCAAAGCAACAAAGATCAAAAGTAGCAAAGAAGGATATTACATAAAGATAAAAGGTTCAATGTAACAAGAAGAGCTAAAGATCCTAAACATATATGCACCCAATACAGAAATACCCAGATATATAAGACTTACAAAGAGACTTGGACCCCCACACAATAATAGCGGGAGACTTCAATATCAATATTAGATAGATCAATGAGACAGAATGTTAACATCGACATCCAGGACTTGAACTCAGATCTGGAACAAGTAGACTTAATTCACATTCATAGAACTCTCCACTTTAAATACACAAAATATACACTCTTATCAGTACTACATCACACGTATTTACAGGTTTAAATGAAATATTGGTTGGCTGCTTGTTAATTATTTTCTTCCCTCATTTTTTTTTTTTAATGTCTCTATTATTAAACACAATTACAGGCATATCCAGTTTTAGACTGCATTCTAGCCCGGGCAATAAAGCAACACCCCTGTTCTCTCTCCCTCTTCCTCTTCCTCTTTCTTCCTTTCCTTTATTCTTTTTCTTTTTTTTTTAAATTCTTTTTCTTTCTTTCTCTCGTTAAAAAAAATAATAATAATAATAAAAAAAAAAAAAAAAGAAAAGTAAGTCCAGATTGAAATTATTTGGGCCTGGCCAACAGAACATTTAGATTTAATGATGAAAGTGAAAAATTACTTTAAGTGACAAAAATATAGGAATGATCAAAATTTCATATATAAAAGGAAACTTATTTTAATTTGATTTAACCAGGTAAGTTCACAAGTAAAAGGCACTCTGCTACGCATGGAGTTGGGGAGGGAATACAAAGATAAGTGATATACGTGTCCTATGTCTGGAGGGGTTTTGAATTTAGCAGCAGAAAGAAGATAAATAGAAATAGCTATGCTATAAAAGGGGCAAAATACTGTGTTACCAGGGGATTACAAGCAACTTCTTGGCAGAGGTGAAAATCAACCAAACTCTGGAACAGTGGAAGGATTTTGACCTATGGAACTGGGTGGAGGACGAAGTCCATCTCTAGGTAGAGGGAGAAGTGTTAACGGGTTGAACTGTGTCCCCCAGAAAGATATGCTGAAGTTCTAACCACCAGAATCCGTGTGTCTTAGTCACACTCTATAAATGCACTTATAAGACAATACCATGGCCGGAGTGGCTCATAAAAATTAGAAATTTATTTTTACAATTCTAGAGTCTGGAAGTCCAAGATCAAGTTACCAGCATGGTCGAGTTCTGGTGAGGGCCTTCTTCTGAGTTGCTGACTACCATCTTGGCGTATCCTCACAAGTGGAAAGAGGTCAAGGAGCTCTCTGGGGTGTCTTTGATGAGGACACCAATTCCATCATGAGGACTCTACTCTCATGATCTAATTACCTCCCCAAAGCTCCACTTCCTTATACCATCACATTGGGGGTTAGAATTTTAACATAAAAATTTTGATGGGACACAAACATTCAGTGCATACAGAGTGCGACATCATTTGGGAATTGGGTTTGCATATGTAACCAAGTTAAGATGAAGTCATACTGGATTAGAGCTGGTTTCCTTAAAAGAAAAGGGAAATTTAGACACAGATATCCAGGAGAGAAGGCCATGACAAGATGGAGGTAGAGACTGGAATGATGCATTCACAAGCCAAGGAGCGTCTAGGTCTGCAGCAATGCCAGAAGTTAGAAGAGGCAAGAAAGGGTTCTTACCCTAGGGCCTTCAAAGAGAAGATGGCCCTGCTGACACCTTTATTTTGGACTTCAAGCCTCCAGAACTGGGCAACGCTACATTTCTGTTGCTTTAAACCATCCAATTTGTGGCATTTTGTTACAGCAGCCTTAGGAAACTAATGCAAGGGGAAAAGAGATGAGGCTTAGAGGTAGGAAGTATGGGACTTATTCTGAAAGGTGAAATTTGGATTGGCTGGAGAGCAGTATGTGTAAACACCAATTATAGAGATTATGTCTGGGGAAAAAAAGGGCCCAGGTGGTGGCATTTGGGGCTTTTATCTGCAGCATATAAAGCAATATTAGGAGACAGAGTAATGGAAGATTCAGGACATGCTGGAAGAATAGACAGGAAGAAATAGGAGCAGGTAGCAGGTTGCTGTGATATTTGAGACAAGAGGTGGCATGCTGGGCAGTGGCAGTGCTCATGGAAAGAAAGAAAGTGATAGATTTGACAGGGGTGGAGATAAGGGTTGATAGAACCTGACGACTGGTTAGGTGAAGAAGGCACAAATATAATTTTTACTTGTGGGGGATGGGATGGGAGGATAGAGATGCCATTATCAGAAACAGGAAACCCAGGGGGTAGAATTGGTTTGGGAGAATGTGTTGAGGAAAAAAGTCTAGTTTTTAGTAAATGTTTATGTCCAGCAGAATGCTGGAAATGCGGACCTACAGTATTTGTTGGGTTAGAAATATAGATCTGGAGGCCAGGACATGGTCAAGGGCCTGGAAATGGTTGCAATCACTACAAGAGTTGAGTGCTCATAAATGGAAGAGTTGAACACTGGGGGAGCTCCTCTATTTAGGGGGTGAGAGAAGGACGAGGCAAACACAAATTAGAGATGCAAGACGGTAGCCAAGATCAATCCAAGTCAGGGAAGCCAAGGATGTGTTTTATGAAGGAGAGGGTGATCAATGACATAAAATGCTGCAAAGAGATTGGGGAGGACAAGGACTCAGGAGAAGTCATCAGATATAGGGATTAGAATGTCAATAGTAATTTATGAGAGGATAATTTCAAATTAGTGGTATGAGAGGTCACTTTAAAAGGGTTTAGAAATGATTAAGAGTAAGAGAGGCTAATATGCATGGATTATTCTTTTGGCAGGTTTGGTAATGAAAAGAAGGAGAAAGATGAGCTTTTTGTTGTTCATGTTGTTTTATGGTAGAAAAATATGCAAGTATACTAACATGCAAAAGAGAAGAAACCAGAAATTTGGGAGATTTGTAAAAAACAAAACAGAATGGGATAACTGATGGAACAGAGCTCTGGAAGGAACAGAGATAGATTTCAACTAAGGAGCAAATTAGCTTTGGAAAGCAAATGGGGCAGTTTCCTTTCTGGCACAGTCAAGGAAATAATAGGAGGGGTTGTAAATCACTTGGATGTGGAAGGGGGAAGTTGAAGTTCATGTTAGAAAGTCTCATCTCAGTAAAGCAGAAAGCAGGTCAACGTGGGAGAGATGTGTATGGGATGGGAAAGATGATACCTTTGGGGAATATGACTGAGACTAAATATAAGGATTGCTAACAGGCCTACTTGAGGTGGTAGCAATAGTGCTAATGGATAAACTTAATTTTAATTGACAAGACGTAACTTTCTACAACAAGGTCTACCAGCTTGGGAGAGGCATGCAGGTAGAAAAGCAGATGATGATGAGAGTCTACTGCTGGTTATAGGCCTAATTTTCTCTTTAATCCAAATCTATCTCTCTTCCTTCCAGAGGAAGCTCAAAATACAAGGGACCTCAGGGCATAGTAAAGGCTAGGTTAGAACAGGCATTTGAAAGTCTTTTTGGGTCTGTTCCTTGCCCTTCAAAGTAACCTAAGAGTAGTGAAATAATAAAGAAAAATGTGTAGGTAAAGGATAAAAATCATGTTCCTTTCTTCCTCCTTTTAATTTATTCATTCAGCATACAAATAATTTGCTGAATGCCCTTCCATGCCATGGCATGGGAAAGGAAGGCTGGGCATCAGGTCTGTAAGATTAGGCTGCTTACCCTTCAGTGTATGAAATAACAGGAACAGTATACACTCAGCTTGCATTATCTACCAGGAACTGCTGGGTAAGTGCCTGTCCACATATTAACAATATTAACCTACAAAAGTAGGAAAAATACTATGCTCTATTTTGCCAGTGACGACACTGACTCCAGGGGAAGTTAAGTGACTTGTCAAGGTCACATAGGTAGTTGGCAACATAGCTGGGGTTTTAGTAAGTCTGGCTCTTGAGTCTGTTCTCTTATTATTTTTTTTTTTTCCTTTGAGACAGAGTCTTACTCTGTCACCCAGACTGGAGTACAGTGGCACGATCCTGGCTCACTGCAGCCTCCACCTATTGGGTTCAAGTGATTCCCCTGTTTAAGCCTCCTGAGTAGCTGAGATTACAGGCGTGCTTCACCAAGCCTGGTTAATTTTTGTATTTTTAGTAGAGATGGGGTTTCACCATATTGGCCAGGATTGTCTCAATCTCTTGTCCTCGTGATCTGTCCACCTTGGCCTTCCAACGTGCTGCCACCACGCCCAGCCAAGAGTCTGTTCTCTTAATCACTATACTATATGAACTGAAAAGGTTATAAAATGGGTTATAAGTAGGATGATTACATATATATATGTATATATTATATATAATATACATATATATTATATGTATTATAATATATATATATTTGAGATGGAGTCTTGCTCAGTTGCCCGGGCTGGAGTGCAATGGCATGATCTGGGCTCACTGCAGCCTCCACTTCCCAGGTTCAAGTGATTCTCCTGCCTCAGCCTCCTGAGTAGCTGGGATTACAGGCATGCACCACCACACCTGGCTAATTTTTTGTATTTTTAATAGAGAAGGGATTTTGCCATGTTGGCCAGGCTGGTCTCGAGCTCTTGATCTCAGGTAATCCACCCTCCTTGGCCTCCCAAAGTGCTGGGATTACAGTGTGAGCCACCGGGCCCAGCTGATGATTACATATTCTAAGATGGTCCAGGTTATGCCTGTCATCCCAGTAAAAGTATTCATTGTATACTCTTATAGTAAAAAGTTTGTAGGAGAAATTATATAGCTACTTTAGTTATAAGAGAAACTGATCAGCCATGGGGCTCTTCTTCAAACTCTTCATTGTTGGCTCACGTGATGTATGGAGACGAAGAACTGTAACGCATTTAAGGAAAATAAATGAAATGGCCCTGCCTTTCTGTGATATACAGCCTCAAGACCCAGAAGAGCCAGCTTCTTTGATCCCCTTGGTAAGATCACAGCCCCTTCCCCAACCTACATACTATTAAGCACTTCAATCCTACTGGTTTTAATGAAAGGAGAAACACAGAAAGGCACATTCTCTAAGCTGCCACCAAATGAGTTCTGCACACCCATTCTTTAAGCAGTGATGGAAATGGAATGCACAAAACCCTACAGCAAATCTGTCTACCCATCTCTCTCTTCATCTCCTTTCCTTATCTCTACTCTCAGGTCAGCACTCCACTATTCACACCAAAGCTCACGCATAATAACTTCATGTCATACAGATGTACAGCCTCCGCCAAAGCTGGTATTGGGCTAACACCAGACCGTTTGCAGCAATTCTGGCTGTTTTGTGGCTGTTGGTAATGTCTTCATTTCCTGAACTCTTTCTCCTTATTGTTTTTAGGCTCCAGTGGGAGGCAGGGAAATTGGTACTAGCGACGTGGCTCTGGTTCCCTACCAGAAAAGTTGTGCTCTTGTTGCCAAATTAGCCCCCTTGGAAGATTTAAAGATGTACACTCAACTCCCTGTGGATGATTTTAAAAATGTATCACTAATGCTCACTGATGATGGGCACTTATACAACATTGTGATTTGGCTCTTACTCTAATAATACTATTTTAAATGCTGTAACGTGCAAAAATGATGGTAATGCTTAGGCCAGAGTAAGCAGAAAACCAACTCGGCAAACTGAACAGAAGACATTCATCCTGGGTTTTCAATATCCTGCCAAGTGACCTCTGTTTTGTGTGGCTTTATTATTCTCTGAGGTTTTAATATGCTGGTCCACAGAATTCTCTTATTATTTCCTTCACTGCTTTTCTATTGTCTCCTCTGTCTGCCCTGGATCCTCTGTTTTTCCTTCCTCTGAATTCAGTCTTGCAGTGAGTTTATGCATTCATAGTGATTTCAACTATAATTTATATCACAAATGGTTCCAAATATACATCTGAGCTGCCTGAAGGGCATTTTACTCTTTCTCTCTTCCTTCCTTGGTAAGCTCGTCCTCTAATATGATTTCAATAATGGCTAACATTTATCACGTCTCAGGTATGGAGTTAATGCTTGGAACCCTACAAGCAGTGGCGCTTATTATTATCATCTTTGTCCTCCAGAGAAAGATCTAGTAAGTGGTATAACTGAGATTTGACCCCAGACAGATTTGCTTCACAACCTGTGTTCTGGAGCACCACATTGTGATGCCTCCTCACATTCAGACACTTGCTCTGTACCTTCTGACTAGACTATCCCAATAACTCCTTAGTGCCCTGTCTGGCACCAAGCAGAGCTCAATACCATTTTTCGCATGGAAGATTTGCTTTCCTCCCTATTGATCACATTTAAAGTCCTCTGTTGGACCTCCAAAGTTTTCCACTGACTTCTCTGTCACCCAAGCCCATCTAGACTGGGTATTCCTGTTAAGGATATTTGTGTGCCATGCAAAATGTGTTTCACTTAGTGTTTCACTTTCTTAGGGTACTTCTTGTACCTAAAACACTCTTCCTATCTACTTTATGGGAAACCTCTTACCTCTTCTTTCAGGATTTATCTGTTTTAGAAAACCTCTAACTAACTATAAGTGTAAGGGTAAATGACATATCGTCAGTGATGTTGTCTTCTATTTCTTTCTATGTCCTACAAGAGTCTAGTAATATTTATCATTCATTGGATATGCAATAAAGATTGTTAATGTGCTGATATAACCATCCTAACCAACACTAGAAAGAAACCCACATGTGGCTGAGAGACACGACTTAATAATTACTAGAGGCCAAAGTGTATGTTTTCACCTACAGTGGGGTAAGGAGAGGAATAGAGCTTCTGTATTGTTTCTAAGCCAGCTTGCTTTCAAATCTATTCCCCACTTTCCCTTGTTCTGCTCTGTGTGTCTGGGATCTGATCCTCTGAAGGCTGCATTTCTAGGCTCACGAGTCAATTGGCTTCCAGATATGTTCAGGCAATGGAAGGAGCTGAAGGGAGAATGGAGTGTGGGAGGGAGAAACTAGGCACATCTCTGCCTCTCACTCTGTTTTGGGATAGGACCCCAGCCCCAGCTGTGTCTCCTCTGTAGCTCCAGCTCTCTCACACTGGCCTTCTTCCATGATTCCAGTTTCTATGAGATGACCCTCGCCTCTGGGCTCTGCCACTTCCTTGCTTTGTCTCTGCAGCCTAGGGAGGGTAGTGGCTTCCTGCTATTGTTAACCTCACCACTCCCATTGGCTTCTCAGCTTCTCCCTATAATTTCCTGCATTAAATTCCCTCTGTTGTAATTTTGTGAAAACCTAAAAGAACAAGCAACCTTTTATTATTAATAATAATAATTATTATCCCAATAGAATTATAGACTAACTTCTGCTAAAACAAAATCCCTGTCAAGCTATGATTGCTTTCTGTCTTCTGGCTGTCTGACTAGGAGATGAGATCCAGCCACATGCAGAAAGTTTACAGATAAAGAGATGAAGTGACATGGCTATCGCAATGGCATTAACCCTCTAAGAGTACTGACGTAGCATGTTTCAAACTCACAAATCTTCAACTCTTGAGGTTCTCCAGTATAAAGATGAATTGAATAATACAAATACAATAGCTTTGTAAGACTAAAAAAACAGAAAAAGGAGAAATTATTTTATAATTTCATAGGTAGATGAGACTAAGTCAACCTACAGATTATGAACTTATCTTATTATTTTATTGGTTTATTTAAAGGGACTAGTTTAATAGTTAACATCAAGTGGGTAGGTTCACATTACTAAAGGAAATGGTGCGAACACTTTTAGCCTCAATCTAAATTCCAAGATAAAGGCTGTCCCTAAAATAAGCCATAAATCCATCATATGCCAACCCAGTAAGAACCATCTGGTGAACACACAGGATAGGCATCTTCTGTGTTTGAGGGCATCCGAGCTGTGCCATACACCTAGAGCATCCACCTGCCCTGGCCCAACTCTTTTCAACTGCATTCTCTTGAAAGATCTTTGGAAGTATTTTTAGATAAGGCTTTGCAGTTCCTGTCTGGACATAACTTCTTTGATATGGAATAAAATAAATAATCAACTAAACCACCTGTACATTTGGCCACTTTATAAATATTCATTGATTTTGCCCTCTGTGCCTACATACCTAAAATGAGAAAAACTATCTCTGGAAGACACTACTGATTGGTTACCCCAAAGCCATTTCTAACCCCTTGACTTTTGTAGCTTTCCCACATAGAGGCTGGAGTGGTAAATACTTGCCTTCCCAGCTGCATGGGACATGAGGGTGGCTTTGGGATTCATCTGGCTGTGAGATGTGAGCAGATGTCTGCTGGAGGGGTGGGATGGGACTTCTGGGGAAGCTGCTCATTTCCACGTAGAAAGATACAGGCACAGAGGGCATGATTTTTCTACCTTTTTCACCTTTTTTCTTTCTTTGGGCACACACATCATGGCTGATGCCATAGCACTCATCTTGTAATATGAAGAAAAAGTCAAGAATCTCGGCATCTTTGGCTCTGACATCATAGATAGTAAAGAACTGGTTCTTTGATGACATTTTTGAGTGTGGAAACAATGCCATCTAGACCTGTTTGAGGGAAATAAAGCCTATTTGTTTAGCTTACTTTTTTTTTTTTCTTTGAGAGACTGGGTCTCACTCTGTCACCCCGGCTGGAGTGGACTGGCACAATCATAGCTCATCATAACCTTGACTTCCTAGTGATCCTCCTACCTTGCTAGGCTATAGCTGGGTGTGGTGGTGTGTACCTGGAGTCCTAGCTACTTGGGAGGATGAGGAGGGAAGATCACTAGGCGGTCAAGTACTGATTTCTAGGTAGAAAGATAGAGGCACTAAATCATTGATTCAGCCCATTAGCATTTGACTTTCTAGTGATCCTCCTGCCTGAGCCTCCTGAGTAGATAGGACTAAGGTACACACCATCCCCCCAACCAGCGATAGCCTGGTATTGTTTCTATTCCTTGCAGCTGAATGGAATCCTAACTGGTTGAAAAGACAAATTTACACTTATTACAAATGTGTCACATTATAATTGCTGGCTCTAGATGTAGTTTATAATAAACTCTTGATTGTGGTCTATGCTTTTATATGGATTTCTCATCTCTTATCTTTGCTTCAGGTTGATAATCTTAATAGAGGTGAGCAGATTTTTTCTCTACAGGGTCAGATAGTTAATATTTTAGATTTCACGGGCCAATCTCTGTTACAGTCACTCAACTCTGCTATTGTAGTGTGGAAGCAGCCCCAGACAATATATAAATGGTGGATGTGGCTGAGTTCCAGGAAAACTTTATGTACAAAGAAAGGCAGTTGGTCCATGTGCCAGAGTTTGTCAACCCTTGATCTTAGTAAAGCCCACCTGCAAATTAGGAGGCAAGAAGTAATGTTTATTTCTCCTTTTAAGGGAGATAAAAATCCTGATTTAGTTTTCTGAGAGTTGGAGGCCCTTTCCATCAGCTTCCCCACAGCCCCAGCTCTCATTCCCCAAAGCAGTAAGAACAGAGTTCTCAGCCTCTACATTGATGATTTATCCCGGTCACAGAAGGGACACCCGGCTAACTGAGGTTAACAGCTTTCTCGGTTTCATTTCAAAAAGACATTAGCATGGAGGCTCAATGAAATGCTGATATGCCAAATACTGATTCATTCACCTGCAGAGTTCGCTATAAGGCAGGGACCTATTTGACAGGCAGGGCTGAGCTCCCAGCCTTTTCCTAAAGGGCAATCCCATAATTCATCTCCCAGTGCTAAATTATACCTGACACTTCACTGAAGGCTTCAGGTGCACTCACCCAACTGCAATAAGACTAATGCAGAAGAAGAGGGTTGGAAATGACAAAAATATTTTTTGAAAATAACATAACTAATTCAATTGTGGGTGGAAATATCTATTGTGTAAAATATTCCCAGGCAGAATACACACATTTGTTTTTGTGTTACGGGCAGGTCTTTTCTCTGGCAATGGGGGATCTCTATGCTGCACATCACTACCTGAGCTACATGCCCCATGACCTGTCTTTTGACTTGGCCTAGTCACTAAAGAAGCTCCAAGCTTTTCCACAATCTGGGCCTTCCCTACTCTAGTCTCCTTCCAAATTTTCACGCAAGTCTGTTCAAAAGCTGCAAAGTCATGCGCTCACTGCTCCTCTACGGAATTCTCTGTGGAGAGATTTGGGAATAGGCATAGGGGAAGCAGAAGATCTGTCGTCTACCTTAAGCAAAGCAGTCAAATGCTTTAGCATGGTGCTTAACTTGTTATCAGGCCCCAGGGATGCTTTGGTAAAAGAGAAGTAAAAACAAAACAAAACAAACAAAAATCTTGACAAGTGAAGCCATCTAACTTCCTAATGACCCCATCCAGGACTTTCTTTCATTTTTTAGTGGGTGCAGGGAGTTGCGCTGGTCATTTATCTGATGACATGTGAAGTGAGCACATGAGGCTTTAGCCTGGCCAAAGCTCACTAGAACTTTGGAGGGATGAGGTGAGATGCTTTCTCTGTAACTCAGGAAGTCTCCATTGAGTATGTGCTAGGTGCCGAGGAGACTGCTGTGAACAGGCAGACACAGAGATCTTCTCTCATGGAGCCTCAGGTCTCACTTGGGAGACCTGAGCTTAAAAAGAGCTAAGATGGGCTGGGCGTGGTGGCTCACACCTGTAATCCCAGAACCTTGGGAGGCCAAGGCGGGTGGATCACATGGTCAGGAGATCGAGACCATCCTGGCCATGGTGAAACCCTGTCTGTACCAAATTACAAAAAATTAGCTGGGCATGGTGGTGCTGCCTGTAGTCCCAGCAACTTAGGAGGCTGAGGTAGGGGAATCACTTGAACCAGCAGATGGAGGTTGCAGCGAGCTGAGATCATGCCACTGCACTCCAGCCTGGTGACAGAGCAAGACTATGTCTCAAAAAAANAAAAAAAAAAAAAAAAAAAAAAAAAAAAAAAAAAGCTAAAGCTAAGATAATCTACTTGCTGGGCAGTGTCCAGCACCTCTTAGGTGCTTAATAACTGTTGAATGAAGAAATTGTAAATAGGGTAAAAGTAAAAGAACTAAACATTATTAAGTGCCTTCTCTGTCCCAGATTCTATGCTAGGTCTTTTCCATTACATTATCTAATTCAGCACAAAATGAACAGTTAAAGTCAAGGCCAGACCCTGGTACATGGCTTCTGAGACAGCCTCTTTCATGGCATACACATAAGAAATAGTGTTGCTTAGTGGAAAGACTCCAAGACTAGGTGTCCATAAAATCTGAGCTTAGTAACAACTCTGAAATTACTAAAGGTATAGTCTTGGGTAAGTATTTGTCCCGTCTGAGCCTCAGTTTCCACATCCATAATTCAGGGATGATGATATCTCCCTCACAGGGTGGCCATGAGGAATGGATGAGATGGTGAATGTGAAATGGCTTTGATTATAAATAAGATCCTGCTCTTTGTAAAAGGAAAAGCATATTTTACCCATACACTTTTTAAGGGTTCATGTTGCTTCTAAACAATTAAATTTTTCATGATTTCAATAATTCTAACAAAAAAATCAGAAACAATATTAAGGTTGATCTGGCAGTTATCAAAATGGTATTTGGAGACATTGTATCAGAAAGATTCCTATAATAAGCCAAGATTCACTTAAGATGATTATTTGCCCTGCCTTAATCACATATTTAGGGGAATTACTAATACTCCAATAGTTACTCACGTAAGTAGACATTAAATTCTTTCTTTATAAATCAATTATCTTTGCTCCTTCAGCATTTCTATGAGTTTCTTTGGATGGATTAAAATTTTGGAGCAACACAGGAGCACAGCCTCCCAAGCAGCTGGGATTACAGGCACCCACCACCATATCTAGCTTATTTCTGTATTTCTAGTAGAGACAGGGTTTCACCATGTTGGTCAGGCTGGCTTCGAACTCCTGACCTCAGGTGATCCACCTGCCTTGGCCTCCCAAAATGCTGGGATTACAGGTGTGAGCCACCATGCCAGTCTTCTTTTTTTTAATTAAAAAATTTTTTTTGTAGAGATGAGGGGTCTTCCTATGTTGCCCAGGCTGGTCTCATACTCCTGGGTTCAAGCAATCCTCTCACCTTGGCTTCCCAAAGTGCTGGGATTACAGGCATGAGGTGCTGTGCCTGGCCTCAGATTCTAACTAAATGAAGAACAAACCTATTTAATGACAGCATGAGTAGTAGTTGTTGTTGTTTTGAGACAGAGTCTCACTCTGTCACCCAAGCTGGAGTGCAATGTTATGATCTTGGCTTGCTGCAACTTCTGCCTCCTAGGCTCAAGCCATACTCCTGCCTCAGCCTCCCCAAGTGGCTGGGCGATAGGTGCACATCAGCACTCCCATCTAATTTCTGTATTTTTGTAGAGACAGAGATTTGCCATATTGCCCAGGCTGGTCTTGAACTCCTGGGCTCAAGTGATCCTCCCACCTTGGACTTCCAAAGTGCTGGGATTACAGGCATGAGCCACTGTGCCTAGCTGACAGCATGATTTTAAGAGCACTTTCCCCAATCAGTGTTTTAATTATTAAAATGAAAATTGTATATAACTCTTTTTCTAGTAATTATTTGTTCTTCTTTTAGTCATCTAAAGAGGTGAAGTATTGCTTATATTTAATTTTATTCTCTACTTTTATTAACTTTTTTGTGCTCTAACTGTGCCTTGGTTATTTTGGGCTCTAACCGTGCGTTGGGTTTTTTTTGTGCTCTAACTGTGCCTTGGTTTGTGACGCTTCCCATGTCAAGATTTGTGAATTCTGTACTTTCATTTCCTTCCCCCAGATCATTAGTGAAGTGGTTATGTGAAGCCAAAGTGGGCACGAGTCCTCATGAATGCAGTGGACACTGTCTCTTATCTAAATGTGAGGGACCGACATTTGTCACTGCTCTTTGTTTATGGTCCTTCAGCCAATTTTCAATCTATGTGACCATGCACATATTCTACCCAATTTGAATTAATTTTGCAAGTGGAAATTCATGGAGTAGTGTATCAAATGCTTTAGTAAAATCCATATATATTACCTCTAGTGCATTCCCTTCATCCATTAATCTCGTAATGCGATTTAAAAGAGTGATCACATTTGTCTGGAATGATTTGTCCTTTATCCATCCGCAAAGCTGCCTCCTGCTCTTGGCTCCATTATCCTCTCCATTCTTTCAGTTTTTCCCTCTTTACATCTGATTCGTTATACTATTAGACACAGGGGTTATATTTTAATAGATGATAATTACTGGTAACTTTCTTTCTGTTTAGAAAATATTCAAGGTTTTCAAGTAATCTTTAAAATGTGGGTTATTGAAAATGTCTACTGACTGTTAAATTTTCAAGCAAATTGCTTTAATACAATCTCTTTACTTCAAGCAATGATTCTGAAAACATTTTCCCAGGCATTATTTTCTTTTAAAATAAGTTTTGTTGTGAACTATGATATAGTATTTAAGCTATCTTTCCTGTTCTGTTTGTTTGAACTGTTTTTCCAGAGCCTTATTTCCCCTTCTGCCTGGAAAAGATGTGTAGTATATTATGTAAATTAAGGGTGATAATAAGTATGAAATTGTTGCTATAATATTAACATCATATCCACTATGAATGACTATTTATTTGCAAAAAATTCTTAGCAGATATTTCTCTATATGCATTAGATGAATTTGCCTGCCCTCTAAGCACATTTCTAAATACTTTTAGTTTTGGGTAGATTCTTTTTCTGAAGAGCTCAAATGTTATATACCAAATCAGTAAATTTAGGGTAATAGCTAATTCAAAATACAAGATGTTTTCAAAAGAGGAGGGAGAGCAGGAATGAAAGGAATAATATAACATAGGAGAAGAATGATAAAATCAGAGATGCAGGTATGTAAGAGGTAACAGAGCATGCAATAAATTGTGGATCTTTAGAAACCTAACTACAGGAATATCACTTAAGGTGCTGTGGGGCTTTCTTTCAAAAGATGTAGAGGCTCAAATATAGACTAATTCCTTGACTCACAGTTCCAATGCAAGGTGACCTCTCCTCATCTGTCATTGTAATCATTGTCCAGCTTTTCTTCTGTGTTCCACCAACACTCCATTTAGGAAAGTTAGTAGGAAGGAGGACTCAGAATACTGTTTTTCAACTTGCTGCCCAGTAGGTAAAGGGTGGTAAGTGCTGAACCAAGGCCCAGAAGGATATTTTAGCATCTGCTCCCTGGATACTTGCCAAGGTCCCTGATAAGATATCACTTACAGAATACATGCAGTGAGAATGGGTCAATGCCTTATTAAATGATGGGGTGAAATAAACTTTGTTCAAGTCAAGATCTTAGAACTTCATATATTAAATCAGATTCAATTTAGTAACTTGAATTTCTGAGGGTGACTAGTATATTTCAAGAGGATAGTCTGTAGGGGTTTATTGAATGCCATTGAAATGCTAATCAAAGACTTAGTTCAACCTGTGCTCATACATTAGAGCATTGAATAGAAGACAGCTATTTGACAATAAAAATGGCTATACATTTTTTCCAATTTTATCTCCATTTGGATCTCTACCTTCTTTCTTCTGTAATAAACAAGTTCACTGTAGATCAAAAATCAACTTGTACCCAATAAATATGCAGCCTCACATTGATATGTGAATGTCCATTCATTTGGGTAGGAATGGCAAGTATTTATTACTGGGAAGGAAAGATGCATACAAAATTAAGTGAATTTGCATGAATAAGTCCCCATGTTTATGTGACATTAATATGAAGAAGTTGAGTTACATTTGAAAATATACCTTGCTGCATATAAGCATCAATGCTTATTCTACATAAAGCATCTGTGCTGAGAACTTAGGAGGTTTTTATTGCTAGTGTTCTATTTTTTAAGGTAATATTAACAATCATTTTCAAATACATTGAGTTCTAGGGAGAACATACATATTGTGTATGTAATTATGAACTACAGTTTAGCATTTATAATAGAAGGAAATGCTAAACTGTAAATGCTAAACTGTAGTTCAATATTAATGAAACTAAAGGTGGATTCTTTTTTCAGCTACGCTGTTGCCGCTGTCACTAAGGCTGATTACAAAGCCGCTAACTCAAAACATGAGCAGTTCTGGAGGTACTTGGAGAAGTCAGGGGTGCTAGACACGCTGACCAAGGTGTTGATAGCCTTATATGAAGAACCAAAGAAACCGAACAGTGCTTTGGGTTTTTTAAAGCATCACTTAGGGGCTGCTACCCCAGAAAATCCAGAAATAGAGCTGCTTCGCCTAGAACCACTCAAAATGAAACAGAAATATGAAGCTATTGCAGAAGAAAATAAAAAACTGAAAGCAAAGCTTTCTCAGTATGAACCACCTCAGGAGGAGAAGCATGCTGAATAGGATTCTTCTCAGTTGAAAAGACCAAAAAAAGTGGTTTTGTACGACTTGAATACTTTGTATAGTATATAATCTTTCCTGAACAGATGCTATAGAACTCTTTTAATATGTTTAATTCACCTATCACATTCTATTATAAACGTATAGAATCATCAATAAAAACTCAATATAGCTTTCTTTGGGTCTTAAAACAGGGGAATCCAAAGTAAATCCTGAAACAATCCTAAGCACAGCTATCTAACTCATTACCTTAAAAGACATTCTGTTTATTAGTCTGATCAGGAATGATGGCACTGGTTGTATTTTAACCAAGGCAGTTTAGCATGGAGCTAGTCCTTGGTGTAGTTCAGGATATGAACACAGGTACAGTCATTCTTTGAAGGTGACACTGTTGTGTATATTTCCTATAGGCAGATGGAGAGATCTGTGTGACAGAAGATGCTTTTGTACGGATTCCCATGAATCTTCTGCTCCTGTTTGTGTAGCATGGAACAAATAACTCTTCTTTGCCACCATTTTGCCTTAGATAACTCTGTGTGTGCCAGTTTGAACTCTGATACCATATTTTCCTTCTATGCAATCATGCCTTGTCTGATAATCTTGCATTGCTTTGCTCTGAGCTTTAGTGGGTCCTAGTTGCACATTGGCCTTTCTGTGCTGTTTTTCAATTTGCCTGATAATAGCAGTTACCCTGATTGTAATTTTTTAAAACTTTACACAGGATCACACTGTACCCCCTGCCTGCCTTATTTGCTTATTGAGCACAGAACAGAGGCAATATACCATTCTGGGTTCACACACAAGCTGGGATGCGAAGAGGAATGAGCCATATATTGTGGAAAATTATAGTTTGTAGGTATAATTATATAGTTCTTTTTTCCATCAAAGTATTTTTCTAGACTTGAATTCATTTTATCTTCATTATCCCTGTGAAGTAGGTGGGGCAAGTATGAGGGGAAGTTGGGTGCTGTATTTTTAGGTCAAAGATTGATGTCAATACAAATTACTCACTAATTGGAGAACCTTGGGCATATCAGTGAGCTGCTCTGAGATTTACTGTCTTCATCTGTTTCATGAGAAGAATATCCATGATGGCTGCCTCACAGGGTTGTTATGAGGGTCAAATGAGAATGTATGTGAAAGATTTGTAAATGGTAAAGCACTATATTCTTGTTTGTTAGTCCTTTTTCCTTTCTTTGGGCATACCTACAGTCTTCATGTTTTGTTTTGTTGATCACTTATTTTCCTTACCAATAGACCATCTTTGTATAGATGTATTCAAATTTCATGTATTCTCTTCCTGTTGTTAGAGAACCTATGTTTGGTCAAAATGCCCATAGAAAACAAAATGATCCAATGAAAACTGGTTTAACTAGCAAAAGCCTTGGCGCCTGTTGGAAACTATGACCAAGTCAATTATAAGAGCATTTAAATCAGTTGTGTTAGTAGGAATGTGGCAATGGCCAGTGCCTCTTCTAGTCACAAGTTTGTTTTCAGAATGGAGCCAGATACTATTGGAAGAACATTCGCTTGAATAGATTTCTCTTTTACCAATTTGAGTGCCTCCTACATGGGCAGCAGTGGACTAAGTGCTGGGTGTGATAAAGGGGAATGACTTTATTATGAGACATGTATATAATCAAATACAGTGGGGGTTAGGACCTGTGACAAACCATTATAATAAAACATGGCCCCATGAGGGTTTTGGAAGAGAGAGAGAGACTTGGCTTCTTTAGTTGGTATGACAGTTTCTTGGTAGACACAGGTCAAAATTTTTTTTTGTGGCAGCCAACTCTCATGTGCTTTTAACTCATCAGATTAGTATTAATATTTACATCAGTAAGCCAGGTAATTGTGACTGTCTTTTGTACCATCCTTTTTGAACAGAATGGCAACATGTGGGTTGGATAATCACACTTTTAGGTGCAACTGACTTGCTTACACTGCTGTAACAGCCAATGCTATTTAAGAATTCAGGATCTGCCTAGCCTCTAGAGGTCCTCTTCAACATTTCTGTCAAGGATTTGGACGAAGACAGTATACACAAAAATGCTCGAAGGAAGAGAAAATGGATCCCATCAGTTAAACTCCTGCTATGCTTCAGCTGCTTTGTCTATAAAATATCGACTTCACATCTTGCCTACCTCACAAGGTTGTTGTAAGATCAAATCAAATATAATGGATGTAAAAGCAAAAAAAATATGTAGAAAATAAACCACAGTAATATTAACATACTGGTAACAATGTCACCAATAGAAATCATTGCTATTTTCATATCACATCCATAACAGATATGGTAGCTATTTCAAAATATCCCTTATGCTCATCGCTGCCTTAAAATTACAGTAGTAGATCCACCACTGGGCTTTATTACTATATTAATAGAAACTATACATATCATCATACCAAATATTGGTTTTAATATTTAATTGGTTTTAATATTTTGATAGTTGAATTTCAATATAAATTGATTTTCTTTGTAATTCTATATGCTTTATTCTTTACTTTATATATTTAAAAGCATTCTACTAAGAAAGGTCTATAGTCTTTAGGTCTGTAGCAGATTGGCAGTGGGGTCCATGGCACAGTAAAAGCCAAGAACCCCTGAACGGGGAGGAGGTTGGAGAAGGAGTTCTAGTTATTCCAGGAAGAGGAAAAGCTTCATCTGGATGTTTCAAATTATACATAATGTTTCTTTAAGGCAAATGTGGTAGGTATGAAGACAAAATACATACATAACATAACTGTTTTGTGAAACATAGTGAGTAATACATACTCACCATGTTTTCATAGGAACATGTTTCTGGGGAGCAAACTCATTAAGCATATTCATAGCTCAGCCAGAATTTCTGAAGCTGACAGTAAAGGTCTGTCATGACATCAGACTGTGCATGCAGCAGGTTGTGCTGTGATAAAAGCCCAAGAAAGATGCCTGAAATACTTATTTGCTACCTTTTCTTGTGTAGTTAGAATGCTAAGGATCATCTAAGAGCAACTAACATTTGCTTTACATGCATTGTAATGGTTATAATAGGTACTGGAAATATAGAGTATGCTAAAAAGTTATCAAACATTAACAGAAGCAGCAGTAGCTGTGGAAAGAGCACTTGACCAGGAGTCGATAGCTGCAGGCCACAGCTTCAAGTCTGACACTAATATCTGTATTACCTTGTGCATGTTTTATTACTGGTAAAATGAAGATAATGACTCCTGCTGTAACTTATCTTGTAAATTTTCTCTAAAGATCAAATGAGTACGTCAAGATGCTTACAAAGGTTTGAAACATAATACAGATATTATTTATATGGAAATACAAGTGAAATATCAATATTATAACATTTTATGTTTTGAATATAGAGATAAAGTGAAATTTTCTATCCTTGCATTATAAAGTATATTGAAGAGGAAACCTTTTAGACAGCTAGAATTTTGAAAATCTGTATATATATAAAATATAAAATACAAATATAGCATAAGAGTTAAATTCTTACAAGACTGTAGACAATGAAATGTGTTATCTTAAGTCATTAGATAATTCCATAATAAAATCATTTTCTTATGGCTGGCAACAAGCTTTCAAATATGACCTGCAGCATAAGACAGCAATGAATTTATGTATGTGGTATTTAGATTTAGCAGCACTAAGATCACAAGGACATACACATTTAATTAGTGGAGTACATTCAATTCTAAAATTTAGATCACTTTCTCAAAATAAGCTTGTTCTTCACAGAAACCATGCAAGCAAATGTTGGCAAATATTGCAAACAATGGGTGAAAAGCATGGATCTTAGGATATTTCTTCCATATATATATATATATATACATATATATATATTCTTAGTAAGATGCTTTTCATTATAAGCTAGCAGAGCAGGATTTAAATACCAACCTGAGTCTTCCATCCTCTAGGTCAATGTTGAAAGTTTATTTCTACAATAAAATACACCTTTCACATTCTTGGTATCATCATATAAATCAAACAAAGAGAACTGCAATCCAATTCTCTCCATTATTACAGAAGCATACAAGTTACTAACCAGAACATTCTTCCATTTTTAGTTTGAAGTATTTTTCAACTTTAAGTATGCTTGGAAAATTTTTTAAGCCAGGGCTATTGTGATTATACTTGTTAGGCTTTTATTCTATAGAAATTATCTAAGCCAAATGAAGTTCAAAATACTGACCCTTGACTACCCATTAGAATAGTCCCTAATCCTCTTGTCATGCGCTAAAAGAGACAAATGAGCTAGATTTGAGATTGAAACTACCACCTCTGAATTAAAAAAAAAGTGAAGCTTAATATGCATTTGGGAAAGACATGGTTAATGCAAATGGCAGAGAAATGTGGAACACTATTCTAAACTGCTTGTGTTCATTGATTCCCGAGTACAGACACTTACATCAAGATACACAGACATATATTTATTAACTCACATGTATGGATCAGAATGACTAAACATTTTTAAATCAGGTGAAGCAAAACCCAGTGGATTCTCCACCACAGTCTGTACAGTGCACACATACCCAGTAACGCACACCCTTGACCCATGTAAGACCCAGAAGTGCTTATAATTTTTTAGGCATTAATTACAAATTAATGAAGCCTGCTGAAGGCAGACACAAAAAGACATACTGTTCAAGATATAAGCATTGAAGCAAGGCAAACACCTGAGAAAAATAATCAGAAGTTCCCAAACCGAAAAGATTGTATCCTGGACATCCAAGTAGATGAAGGATCCAGGGTGAACAGATTTGTATCCTAGGACCAGAGCAGATGATGGGTTTAGGGACTACAGTGGTCCCTAAAGACCATTCTCCCTAGCACTCAAATTTCTAAAAATTAAAGCTTAATGGTTCCAATTCTTTATAAGGTTGTCCTTTCAGTGGGCAAAGCATTGATCAGTGGTCTCAGTCCTGCCAGCTGGCTTCAAGGGCTCTGCCCTCAACAGTTCTTCAGCATCCTTTCTTTTTCCATTCTCTTGAAGAAGGGATGCTCTGTTCACTTCAAGTGAGCTTAGACTTATGAGG